GCAATGGCGTACGTGCGGAGCACCAGTGGAGGAGGGTACGGCCAGACGGATGATGCATAGACTCCTCGTTCGAACGTATCCGATGCGAACGGCAGGCCGTTACGCACGTGCCACACCACGAGCTCGTGGGACCCTCGTCTGGCATGATCAAGGCGAAAAGACGTAAGTGTCATACGTTGGCCAACTCACCCAAAAACACTTCACACGTAAATCACGGACCCTTACCCGCCCGATGCGTGCTTGTAAACTCCTGACGAGAGATGGGTGCCACGGTCACACCCGCTGGTAGAGTTGATATTGTGACACGCGAAAACGTGGGAGGATCATATGGGAGCCGGAGCAGAACGTAAACATAAGCTCTTCCCTGCTCCCATCTCGTGTTACGATACAGCTGCATCTTGCGAACGAACCACCCAGAAGAAGCGGAATCGTAGTGCATTACAAGGTGTTGCATGTGCTTATGTGCGCGGGTGTGCAGGCGGAGAGCTCGGGCGGTCACAGATTCCATGAGAGGCTGTGAGGGCGAGAAGCTCATTCGGCGCACGCGGGTGTCGTATACAAGAATCACGATCCCGTCGCCGACTGCTTCATGATTTTCAAGAGGGCCCACCGTTAAATCCCGTTCTTTAGCGCCTTACCCTGCCTGTCGAGCTGCCCCACCCGTCACGCCACCCTGCTAGCCACGCGACACGCGTTTTTCCTCGTCACGCCGCCCTCGGGAGCCAGTAGCGCTGCCCTGCTGGCAGCGCGCGACCCCGCCTGGCCCGTCGCGCACCTGTAGGGCCCGCGCGCCGCCCTTACCTGCCCGCCGCGCCGCCCTTTTTGGCACCGCGCGGCTCAGCTCCGCCCTCGCGCACCCCTACGGCCCTCGCACCGCCCTTTTCTGCCCGCCGCGCCGCCCTTCTGGCAGCGCGCGGTTCGGCCCTGCCTCGAACGTAGCTCCAGAGCCCGAGCGCCGTTCTCCCCTACTAGTGCTACTGCTGCTGCTACTGCTGCTTGCCTGCAATCGCTCTGCCCTGCTAGTCCCGCGCCAGCAGCTATGGCCAACCTCCAAGTTCTGTCGTTCGATGCCGAGGGCCGCCCGATTCAGTTCGAAACATGGCTAGATGACCTGCAGCTGTTCCTAATGAGCGATAGCAAGGACAATGTCTCGCTCTATGACCACATGTCTGGTGCCTCAGTCGCTCCCGCTGCCACCACTGAGCTTAGCGCCCGTTCCCAGTGGCAGACCCGTGATGCTGCTGCGCGCCTAGCCGTTCGCAATCACCTTCCGTTAGCCGAGCTCACGCAATTTTGGCGGAGTACAAGACTGCTAAGACCCTGTACGACGCTGTAGTTGCTCGATACTCCTCCCCTGCCACAGCTGAGCTTAGCTGCCTCATGCTGCCCTACCTGTTTTCCTGAGCTATCCACCTTTGGCCACAGTTGCCGATCTCATTACCCCACCTTCGCAACTAGCGACTCCCGCCTGCAACGCCCGCCCTCCCCAGAGAGTTCTGTGCTAAGCACCCGCCTCCGATGTACTGGACCCTCCACTTCATAGTCACCCGTCTCCCTAACTCCCTTAGCTCAGTCAGGGACCACGGTCTCGCTTGCTGTCCCACGGAACTCACTGTCGACCTCCTAGAGGAGCACCTCCTTGCAGCAGAGAAGAGCATTGTCGCTGTAGGTGCTGCTCGTGGCGCTCCTCGCACCCCCATCTTTAAGGGGTGCTCTTACTCTCTCCTTGCCCTCTCCTACGCTAGTGCTGCTGCTGTTGACTACCTTGGTGCTGAGTCTGTTGGTGCTGCTGCTTCTGCTCCTAGTGGGAGGCGCCGCAGCGGTAAGGGCAAGGGAACCAAGAGTGGCGGAGGTGGCACCGGGGGGGGTGGTGGTGGAGGCGGTGGAGGAGGAGGAGGTGGCGGAGGGAGTGGCGGCGGGAGTGCTGGCAGGAATGGTAGCGTCGGTAGCGGCGGTGGAGGCGGTGGTGGCGGAGGGAGTGGCAGCGGTGGTGGCGGCGGCGGTGGCAGCAGCGGTGGCGGCCGGGGCGGTGGTGGCGGTGGAGGTGGCGGTCGGGGTGGAGGCACGTGCGCTGGTCAAAGGCACCAGCAGCAGCAGAGTCCCCAGACGACCCAGCAGCTTCATGAGTGGCTTGCTCAGCGTGGGAGGTCTGGGGGTGGTGGTCGCTGCCCGTATGTCATTCGCACAGGTGACCGAAAGGGTCAGATGCTTCTCCCGCCTTGACGACGCATGGCGTGAGGAGATGGGCAAGGACGCTGAGCGCCCTCGCTGGTAAGAGCTGCTTAGGGCTGGTGTAGACATTTTTGCTCTTGACTATGATGCTATTATTTCTCCCATGTATGCATTGGAAGTTAGTGCTGATGGTGACTGTTACTTGTGTGTGCCGCCTAACCCTGGTATAGAGACTGGTACTCTAGGTGCTGGTGAGGCTGCTGACTTAGGTGCTAGCGAGTATGCTCTCTCAGGTACTGCGCCTGCTGAGGCCGTGCACACCTTCACGCTTGACTCAGGTGCTTCCCGCTGTTTCTTTCGTGACAGTACTGCACTCACACCACTCACTGCACCTGTGGCAGTCTCTCTGTCTCTCTGGCTGACCCCTCAGGGGGCCCAGTTCTTGCACGGTCCACCACGGTGCTCCCGTGCCCAGCGGTTCCGTCTGGCTCACTGACAGGCTTCCACCTCCCCTCGTTCTCTATGAACTTGGTGAGCAACGCAGTCCTCTAGGACCAGTGGGTTGACACCTTTACCCCTGGAGGACAGCATGTGGCGATCTGTACGTGCCCCTGGACCGGCCACCACCTGGCCACGTTTACCCGTCGGCCAGGGTCGAGTCTTTACACACTGACGACTGCGCCTCCTCAGGTAGCTGCTACTGGTCAGGTGTCTGCGTCAGGCCAGGTAGCCTCCCCTTGTGAGTGTCGCTCCCTGTCGCGCCAGACTCTTCTATGGCACCACCTCCTGGGTCACCCCTCCCTGCCACGTCTATGTGGCATGCACCGTCGCCTCCTTGTGTCTGGTCTTCCCAGGTCTCTCCCTCCCCTTCCTGCCTCGCCTGCGCCGCCCTGCCTTCCTTGCGTCAAGGGGGGGCAACGCGCCGCTCCTCACTCCTCCTCGTTTCCCCCGATATAGGCAACCCTTCCTTGCGTCAAGGGCGGTGAGCGGTACTTTCTGCTGGTTCTCGACGACTACTCGCGTTACACCACGGTCTTCCCCTTGCGCACCAGGGGTGAGGTCCCTGCTGTCCTGATCCCTTGGATCCGAGCAGTTCGTCTCCAGCTCCGCCGCAGGTTCCGCCAGGACCTTCCTGTCCTGCGTCTGCACTCTGACAGAGGTGGTGAGTTCACCTCCGACCTCTTGCGGGCCTTCTGTTAGGGGAGGGCATCGAGCAGTCGTTCACGCTTCCGACCTCACCGCAGCAAAATGGGGTTGCTGAGTGCCGCATTGGCTTGGTCATGGAGGTCGCTCGTACCTCCTTGGTCCAAGCGGCGGCTCCCCATTTTCTGTGGCCGTTTGCGGTCCGGTACGCCGCGCAGCAGCTCAACCTCTGGCCCCCGTGTCTCCTTATCGGAGGCCTCGCCGACACTATATGCGTTGGAACGGGGCAGGAGGTTGGCGATGCGTCGCGTTTCAGGGTTTGGGGTGCTCGTGCCATTGTCCGCGATACGTCTGCGGACAAGCTCTCCTCCCGCACCATCCCCTGTGTCTTTCCTTGACTTTGTCCCTGACGCGCCTGGCTGGCAGTTTTACACACACCCCACCTCGCGCCGTGTCCTGCCCTCTCAGGACGTCACCGTTGAGAATTCTGTTCCTTTCTACCGTCTCTTCCCCTACCGCACTCGCCCCTCTCCCTCCCCCGCCGCTTTTCCTCGCTCCAGGTCCCCCTCCGGTAGACCCCCTCCCCCCTCAGAGGTCCTGCTCCTTCAAGTGTGTCTCAGGTAAGACCCGCCCCCCATTGGCTGAGCCTGTAGAGGTCACTTGCGACTCAGGTGCTGCTGCGGGAGGTGCTGCTGGGGGTGCTTGCGTCTGGGGGGTGCTGACCTGCGCATGAGGTGCTGGGGATTGCGGAGCCTGGGGGTGCTGAGCCTGTCCGTGAGGTGCTGGGGGGTGCGGAGCCTGGGGGTACTGAGCCTACAATTGCGGAGACATGGGGGGCGCTGAGCCGGAGGGTGCCTGGTCAGGGGGTGCCGAGTCTGATGGCGTTCCTCTGGGTCTCGTTCCCGACGCGGGCCTCTCTCACCACAACAGGCACGACAGAGGCTTGCGTCGCGTGGTGTCTCTAGTCCTGGAGGTGCTCGTACATGAAGGTACTGGAGCTGCCGGAGGGCTGCACTAGGGATGCCTGCATGCTCCTGGAGCTGGAGGTGTCGGCTCTGGGGGTGCTGCTGCTGGAGGTACTGGGGCTGGAGGCCCTGGAGCTGGTGCTGTCGACCCTGGAGTTGGGGACCCTGGAGCTGGAATTGCCGGGTTCTGGGGGTGCTTGCTTACTGGTGGCGCTGGAGCTGGAGGTGCTGCTGCTGGAGGCACTGGAGCTGAGGTGCTGCTGCTGGAGGTTCTGGAGCTGCTGGAGGCGCTGGAGCTACTGGTACTGGTGGCACTGCACCGCCGAGACTTCTTCCAGACCTTCTCCCCCACCCCGAAGATGACCACTCTTCGGGTACTGCTGCACGTCACTGCTCAGCGTGACTATGAGCTTCACTCTCTGGACTTCAGCACAGCCTTTTTACAGGGCAGCCTGCATCAGGAGATCTGGCTGCGCCGCCCACCTGGCTTCACTGGGTCGTCCCCTCCTGGTACTCAGTGGAGCCTTCGCCGGCCAGTCTACGGTCTCCGTCAGGCGCCTCGTGAGTGGCATGACACACTGAGGACGACACTTGCGGCTCTTGGGTTTGCACCTTCCACTGCCGACCCGTCGCTGTTTCTGCGCACCGACACTTCGTTGCCGCCGTTCTACATCCTCGTGTACGTCGACGACTTGGTCTTTGCCACTGTTTACACTGAGGCTCTCGCCCTTGTGAAGTCGGAGCTGCAGGAGAGACACACGTACACAGACCTGGGTGAGCTGCGCAAGCTACTTTGGCCTGCAGATCACCCGGGACAGAGCACAGCGCACCATCACACTGACTCAGTTCACACATGGTGCAGCAGGTCCTTCAGCGCTTCGGCTTCACTTGGTCCTCGCCACAGTCCACTCCTCTGGCTACCTTCAGACGAGTCCGTGAGAGCCGAGTGGGCTCCGTACCCAGAGCTTGTGGGCTGCCTCATGTACCTGATAACCTGCACTCGTCCTGACCTCGCGTACACCTCTTGGCCTTCTGGCACGCTACGTGGCTCCTGGTAGGCACCGAAAGGTGCACATGGATGCTGCGAAGAGGGTACTGCGCTACTTGTGCAGTACATCGGGCATGGGGGCTCGTGCTTGGAGGGCAGAGCTCAGTTGTCCTCACTGGGCACTCAGACGCTTCTTGGGTTGACGACCTGGCTATGCAGCGGTCGTCACATGATTACACGTTCAGCCTTGGCTCTGACTCTGTTTCTTGGCGGTCTACACGCTCGTCTTCTGTTTTCAGCTCCATTTGTGAGGCTGAGATCTACGCCACAGCCATGGCTGCACAGGAGCTACGTTGGCTCACCTACCTGCTGACCGACTTGGGAGAGAGGCCTCGTTCTCCTCCAGTTCTGTACGTCGACAACAAGGCTGCCATTGCCTTGCTTTGAGCATAGAACGAAGCACATCGCTCTGCGTTACTTCCTTGCTCGTGAGTTGCAGCAGCGTGGTCAGCTTCGTGCCGCTCAAGTGCCCACCCGGGCCAACACGGCTGATGTGTTCACCAAGGCCCTTCCGGCTGGTGATCATCAGCGCTTCTACACTGCTTTAGGCCTGGTGCCTACGTTTCCTCACTTGCTGTAGACTCTGGTGTACTGTGATCTATATGTATATATATATACCTGCATGTTTAACTCTTACTAGGTAGTGATCACTGTACTGTTGTTGTTGCATATATACCTCTACATGTGAACTGGCCTTGTGGCCCCTTTGCTTGTGCTCGGAGTGTGTGGCGACGTTGTGATCCACCCTGAGCTTGCATTGCTTTTCTTGACTGGTCTTGTGACCCTTTGTTCTCCCCCACTTTGCCTATGGGGTTGTGTCAAACTGTATATGTTATGCTAGATTATGTAGGCTGTAGTGGGGTAGCCAATGTAGGGTACAACCTCTTAGGGTTTTTACTTGTACCAAACTCTCTCGATAGTTTCACCCATTCCTAGCTACCTACTCTAACAAGCACATCAATGAAACAGTAACGGGTATTAACTCCGAGGTCTGGGTTTGCAATCGTATAATAATTCGTGACAGCGTCCTACCTTCCACCCATTGTCAAGCCCTGGAAGCACACTGTGTGCTTGCTCGAGCGTATCCGCCCACACGATGAGACCCATAGTCGGTGCCCCATGGCGAACCATAGTCGCCGCTGTCTCACGCGCAAGCGCACGGACGACAAACGGGGTCCTTGGTGCGTCCGGCGCTTGTTCCTGAGGGAGCGTGGTGATGCTTGGCGCAGGCACGTCATTCGCCGAGCGTCGTGGGCGGGTGCGGATGGGACAGCCGGAGCTGGACGAGCTTGGGCTGTGGCGCGACGTGCCTCCGTGTTACGCAGCTGATTGCGCAGCTCATACACCTCACGTTCGTGTGCGCGAAGACGAGCCACCAACGCCTCGTCGACCGAAGCTGTCTGTGTCCCCCTGTTTGCACGGGATCCCGCGTTGCCACGGATGTTTGGGCCATTAGCCCCTGGAGTCACGATCGCCACGTGCGGCGCCGCCTGGTACACGTCGTCCAATGGCCTCTGGCTAGCGTGCGCCTCTGTAGAGGGTAAAAACATGTACAAGGAACGAAAAAAGGATTTGCGAGAGAGATTATACGGTGCTGCTCACTGGGACTCTTCGTATTCCACTGTATTCCTATATAAACCCCTGTACCGCATTGTGGTATTAGTCACTTCTGTCGTTCAAATCTTCTTCTAACAGAGTCCGTGCCCAACATTACCTAGCAATCTTCCGCTGCTACACTCCGTGCGATCAACCTGAGACGATCCTATAAGACGGTTCAGATTGTATCAAGGAGTGCACAGTAATGTTTCAATAATTACTATTTGTAACAGTTTCCAACAAAAAATTCCATAGGCTGATTTGGCAAGGGTAGCTAGGAAAAAGCGGCCTACCGTCAGGGCAAAAAGGGTATTTTACCCTTGAAAAATAGACCCTGGTTGTGACAGCGGAGCTCAGCAAAGCAACACGCAGAGAGAAACTAGTGTGGAGCGAGAAATCTTGGCGAGAAATTCCCATGTAGGCATGAAAAAACACCATACAAGCATCACACTTGAGGTTTTCCCACGTGTTGTTGGCTACTCTAGCACTGAGTAGTGTGCACTCCTAACAGTCCATGTGGTGTTCTTGCTGCTGCAGTCTCCCCAGTTGCAGCACCAACTGAGTTTTCAAACTGTGTTCGCCCACGCACTTCAGTCTTCACTTCACCCTTCACTCCACTCTTGACGCTCGCCCACACGCTCTTGACTCTCCAGTGTTGACGCTTGGTCGGTCAGTGGCTGTGGTCCTGCAGGTAGCGCAGGCCGCAGTACTTGCAGACAGCGGGCTGAGGCGCGTCCACGTTGATGTACTCCACCGGATGGCCCAGCGCGGGGTTGGGGCCTGTTAAAAGAAGAGGGGGGAGGAGGGAAGGGGAGAAGGGGAGGTGGGGGCATGTTGATGAGCAGGGCGAGGGCTGAGGGGCGTCCCTGCCCCTGGGGTACTCCACTGGATGGCCCAAGGAGGGGATGGGACCTGGGGGGGAGAGAGAGGGAGGCGGTGGAGGGAAAAGGGTGGTGGCGGGAAAAGGGTGGTGGAGGGAAAAGGGTGGAGGGGGGAAAAGGGAAGGGCAGGGGGGGAAGGGGGTGGGGGTGCATCCACGTTGATGCACTCCACTGAATGGCCCAGGGCGGGGGTTGGGGCCTGGGGGGGAGAGAAGCGGGGAAAGGCGAGGATGGGGGAGGCAGGGGAGGTGGGGAGGCAAGATTGTTAAGGGACGGTAGAAGGATGGTTCAGGTGCCGCTTTGCTTGAATTTCCGCATGCATGGGTTACAGCCTGCATGGGTTACAGCATGCATGGGTTACAGCCTGCATGGGTTACAGCATGCATGGGTTACAGCCTGCAATGCAATGCGATATGCGGTGGGTGGCATGCAGTGCAGGACATGAGCTCCTCTTGCGCACACCTCTCCTCTCCCACCTTGAAGACCAATCCCCCTTCCTGCCCCCACCTCCTCCACTCCAGCCCCCCCTTCCTCTCCCCACCTCCTCACTCCAACCCCTCTCTCTCCACTTTCGTCACTCCATCCTCCCCACCCACCTTCTCACTTGTCCCTTCCACGCACCTCCCCTGCAGGCAACAACGCGTGAGTGCACGAGGACGGGCGGCACGGCGTTGATGAGCTCCATGGGCGACGCCTGCTCCACCCTCTGATGGCCCACAGGGAGGCATGGGGAGACGCAGCACACACACACAGGTCAATGCGCGCACAGTGATGCATGCACGGTCATGCATGCACGGTGATGGGCGGCACAACACGGCGTCAATGAGCTCCACTGGCCGATGGCTGCTCTGCCCTCTGGGGGCACGAGGGGCGGAGCAGGGAGGGGAAGAGAGGGGAAGGGAGAGAGGGGGGTTGAACAGTGATGCATGCACGGTGATGGGCGCATGGGGTTGATGGGCGCATGAGGTCATGAGCGCCATGGGGTTCATGAGCGCCATGAGGTCATGAGCGCCATGGGGTTCATGAGCGCCATGGGGTCATGAGCGCCATGAGGTCATGAGCGCCATGGGGTCATGAGCGCCATGGGGTCATGAGCGCCATGGGGTCATGAGCGCCATGGGCGATGGTTGCCCTGCCCTCGCAACAGACACGCGACGACAGAGTGAAGAGGGGAGTGTGCGAGCGCGTTGAAGCGACTGAAAACGCTTGGAGGTCACTTCGCGCGTCATGTTTGGGGATTTGCACCACACACCGTGACAACACGCGAGAAGGCTCGTCAGACTAGTAAGCGGCAGGCGGCATGCGAGCAGCAGATGCCTTTTGCGACGCCTCGAGCGCATAATGAAACATTCGTGAACGCCGCTCGTCGGCCACTAGTGAGCGGAAAGCGGCGCGTGTGAAGCGCGGACTTGGAAACGCCATGAGCGACCGACTCCTTTCTGTCGCTCCACGTCCTCGGCGACAATGCCCCGTCGCGCGCTACCGTCGAAATCGCGAGTCGCTCGTGCGACGGATTTAAATCGGACGCGCAATCGAAGTGCAATCGTCGCACTTGGATCCGGCTGCTAGCATGATCGACGAGCAGCACCATCGCGCCCTGCTGGTGATTCTTGAGACGACTCGAAATAAACCTGTCCTGTGGCCGGCACCAAGCACGCGCAATATCTTGCGATGCCTTTCGAGTCGACTCTGAAGTAATGTCGCATCGTGTTATCGAAAAGAATGCTTGTCGCGTGGCACCGTGGTCTAAAGAACGCCATATAAGTCCAGATCGAGTCGCACCTGCATCCACTTGCTCGTGTGGTCCGCGCCGAGAACCATCGCGCGCTCCTGAACTAGTTGCGCAGGCTGCTGCTGCTGACTCAGGAGCGCGCCGCACGATCGGCCGCGCCGAGCCACGGCGGCGAAGAGCCGGGAAGCCATGGCGCGCAGTGCACCGCGGCAGTTGCGAAAGCGGCACGTGCGCGCGGGGAAACCCTAGATGCTCGAGGAGCGGCGCGAGTGCTGGAGTGCTTCTAGTAGTAGTACTAGGGGTCTGGATACGACTCGCGAGTTCACCACGGTTTTTCTGTGCTTTAGGAAAAGTAGGCTTAGATTGGTTTTTTAGAAAGTTGGGACATCAAGGGGTGGGTTCCGTTTGCGCTTCCGGGTGGCGGTGTGCCGTGTTCATTTGCCAGTTCCGGACCCCAGCGCTAGTTGGGACAAATCTAAACATTTTCTCTCCACCAAACGAGTGCTAGAATACTGTTGGGTTGACTGGAGCCGTCACAAGCGAACCTTTTTGTTATATATTCGCGCCGCAACACACACCAGTATTCTTCCCATACCAGAATTTAGCCACGACACCACCACCCTTGCACAGGCAAAAATTCTGCTACCGTGTGAAAACCCGAAGCACATGTCGAGAGCCGAACAGTTTCGGTGTCAGAACTGGTGGCATGTCGTCATGCCCTAACACGAGAACTCATACCGGAGCTTATCTGTGTGGTTCTGCTTGTGGGTTGCACGAGAGAACTCGAGGGCTTCTGGGGGCAACTTATTAGGCAAGGCTGATCGCACCGCCGCCCTTGCGGGATCCTCCTGGCCATTCGTCGCAGCGACTCCGCTCAAAACCCTTGGTTCTATCCTGCTCCTCACTCCTCCGACTTCCACCCGCCATCCACTCGCGCGCGCTATCGCACCACCTGTCACGATTTGCTCGTTATCTAGGCTCCACTTTCCTCCTCGCAACTCCAGTCGCCCGGTTTTCGTCGCTGCCATTGCGGTGGCTCTACAGTGGTCTCAAGCTTCCACGCTAGGATTCGCTCCGAAGTCGCCGTCGCAGCAACTTCCCTGGCTTGGATACGGAAAGGGATACTGAACACGCGACGCGAGGCGACGCGACGCGATGGGGTGGAAGCCGGCGCAAACGGCGATTCGCGCGTGGAAGATCCTGCGGGGCGACAAGGTGAGCGGCGAGGACGGGATGGCGGAGTGAGGCGGCGTAGTGTGGAACTGGAGAACTAATCAGCTTTGAGGCAACATCGCGTTCCCGTGTGCTCCTCGCGCCATGATGCCTGGGCGCTGCTCATGCCGCTGGGCGCTGCTCATGCCTGCTCGCCCACCACCGCCCTCTTCCCCTCCGCATCATATGGAGAGGCGCTCTTCCTCCGCATTTCCCAGGCCCTTTCCCCACCACATGTTGACTAGAACGTATTCATCTGATGCCTCGCTCCCCATGGCCTCCCATCCCCCTCTCCCCCCAGGTGATGGTGATGGCGGGCAAGGACCGCGGGCAGACGGGCACGGTGACGGCCGTGCTCAAGGAGAAGAACCGCGTCGTGGTGGAGGGGCTCAACCTGGTGAGGGGCTGAACCTGGGGAGGGGCTGAACCTGGGGAGGGGCTGAACCTGGGGAGGGGGCTGAACCTGGGGAGGGGCTGAACCTGGGGAGGGGCTGAACCTGGGGAGGGGCTGAACCTGGTGAGGGGCTCAACCTGGTGAGGGGCTCAACCTGGTGAGTTGGGTTTGTCGGTCCGCTACTGTTTCTCGTACCTACCTCCCCAGAAGCTGGGCTGAGTGACACGATTGCAGTAGGCTTTATTTGACATTCATTTCACAGTGTGGCAGCTGGGGTGGAACAGGTGTGCAGTGGAGGAGCGTGGGGCCCCCACACACACCATGCACAGTGGAACTGTTGTCCTGGTCTGGAGTGGTGTTGGGTGTGTGGGGGGAAAACAGAATGGAGTGAGTTGAGTGGGTTGAGTGAGACGGCTGGTGCACGCTACGCACTCGGTGTGGACGACCTCGGAGAAGCACATGTGAACAAGACACCGCATTCAACCCACGCACCATCCTTACGAGCAAACGTCTCACCACCCCACACCCCCACCCCGGCTTCCCGCCTGCTCCTCCCACACTTTTGAGTCGACTCAAAAGTCCTCTCAACCTTTCCCGCCCCTCCACACCTGTCTATCCCCTTTCCCTCTTCCTTTCTTTCCCCACCCGTCTCGTCTCCACATCCCCAACAACCGCCCAGGGCATGATGAGGCGCCCATGGCATGATGAGGCGCTCATGGCATGATGAGGCGCCCATGGCATGATGAGGCGCCCATGGCATGATGAGGCGCCCATGGCATGATGAGGCGCCCATGGCATGATGAGGCGCCCATGCACCCCCTATCGCGCTCACTGCTTCACCACACACGTTCCCTTACAGTGTGTTTCACCATCCAACCCCCTCCGCCCCCCTCTCTCCCCTACCCGCCCTCCTCCTCGTCTGTGGGCTCGTGCGCATCCCGCTTCTTTCCTTGAGGGGTGTTTCCACATTGGCCACTTGGTGAACAGAAGCCAGCACCAACTTCATCTGCCGCTCACCTCACTCTCTACTACTCCTCCTTCCCCCACCCGGCAGCCCAAGAAGCACGAATCTCACCGCCCTGCTCCCCTGCTCTGGTCCCCTCACCAGGGGGAGAGCACTGGAACAAGTGAGGGGACCCACGAGGCGGAGTGATTCTAGTGGAGGCACGCATTCACCACTTCTCTCAACGCTCATCACCCTCTCTCCCCAATGCGTTTGGCCCCCACATCTGCTTCCCACTTCCCCGTTCGACCTTGCCATGCCATGCCATGCCCTGCCTTGCATTTCGTAACAGGCGAAGAAGCATGTGAAGAAGGCAGCGGACTCGCCCGGGGGAGTGATCACAGTGGAGGCGCCCATACCACCTCTCCAACCTCTCGCTGCTCGACCCTGAGACTGGGTATGTGGCTGCACTGCTCTCTACACACCCACGTGCGTGCATCACTGTGTGCACAAATGAGTCTTGGAATGGCATGATTGCCATCACGCCGCCCATACCACCTCTCCAACCTCTCACTGCTGGACCCCCACAGTGCACCATGCCCCCACAGTGCAACCATGCCCCCACAGTGCACCATGCCCCCACAGTGCACCATGCCCCCACAGTGCACCATGCCCCCACAGTGCACCATGCCCCCACAGTGCACCATGCCCCCACAGTGCACCATGCCCCCACAGTGCACCATGCCCCCACAGTGCACCATGCCCCCACAGTGCACCATGCCCCCACAGTGCACCATGCCCCCACAGTGCACCATGCCCCGTGGCGTTCCCTCTCTCTTCCCCTACTCTTCCCTCCCACTACCCTCTCTCAACCCCCCCATGTATGCCCCACCGCAGAGCACCATGCCGGGTGGCATTGCGCTACACGCAGGAGGGAGCGCAGGTGAGGGTGGCGGCAGGCTGCTGACGTTGAGGCATTCGTCCCCATCCGTTGTTTCCTCTCCTCACTCTCTTCTCCGCCTCTCTCGCCTCAACCATCCCTTCATGCCCCCCCCAGTGCGCCGTGCCGGGGTGGCGATCCGCTACACGGAGGAGGGCGCCAAGGTGAGGGTGGCGGCGGGCAGGAGTGCCTCAGGGGCCGTCATCCCGCGGCCTGAAATCCTCAAGAACCGCCGCACACCGCTCCCCACCGAAGGTGACCCACGTGCCTCTCTCCTACCCCCACCCACACTCGCTACCGCTCGTGCCGCCTGTGCTGGTCACTCTGTACTGCTCCCCACCCAAGGTGACCCGCACTTCTCTCATCTCCCTCCACCACTGCTGCTGCGTCCACTCGCCTGCTCCCTGCCTCCCTGCTTTCCTGCCTCCGTTCGCGCTGGGCCTTGGTCTTCCAGTCGTCGCACTGTCCTTGCCCACCAGTGGGAGGAACGAGTTGCTAGCCTCTCCTGGCTGGGCAACCCAGTTCCTTCCTGCGACAGCCACACCCGTGAGCTTCCATGCTTGTACCTCCTCCACTCACCCTCTCCTCACTCTCCTTACTCTTCCTCCTTATCCACTCCTTCCCTCCCCCCTACGCCCCCTTCTCTCTCCCGCTCTCTTCCCTCCCCATCACTCAGCGGGCCTGCGGGACACCACACCAGTGCCGAGGCGGCACATGCAGTGACGAACGACTACCAGTCAGGGGAGGGCGGGCTGCCCTGCCCATACCCTCCTCATTCCTCCCCTGCCCGCCCTCTTTCCCCCTACTTCCCCCTCCCCCATTCTCCAACCCTCTCAGCCTGTCCCTGGGACACAAGTCCCGAGGCGGGACATGCAGTGATGTATGACTACCAGTCAGGGGAGGGCGGGCGGGCTGCAATGCTCTCCTCATCCCCCATCTCCCCCCTTATTTTCGTCTGCCACTCTCCAATCCTCTCAGCTGGCCCGCGAGACACAAGCCCCGAGGCGGCGCACGCAGTGACGTACGACTACCAGTCAGGGGAGGGCGAGCTTGCAGCCTTTGGCGCTCTCATTCCTTTCCATTTCCCCCCCTCCCCTTCCCTCAGCCGGCCCGCGAGACACAAGTCCCGAGGCAGCGCATGCAGTGACGTACGACTACCAGTCGGGGGAGGGCGGGCTGCCCCCCCTGGTGTGGCGCAACGAGCGGTGGGAGGTGGACACGGCCAAGTGGCACGCCAGGATCGCTGCTGCTGCCAAGATGCGCGGGTCTGCTGGAATAAGGGGCGCTGCTGCCAAGGCTGTGGGCGGGGCAGGGCACAGGTCTAAGGGGGCTGAGAGTCAGGCCAAGGGCAAGTGAGCGGGGCAGGGGCTACGGGGAAGGGTGGCGGGGGAATGACGGGCAGTGGCAAGGCGTTGGGCGGACGGTAGCTTTGGTCGCTGCTGCCTGCCGCCAAGATGCGAGGCTCCGCTGGGGTGAAGGGCGCTGCTGGCAAGGCTGTGGGGGGGACGGGGCGCCGGTCCAAGGAGCTGAGGGCCGGGCCAGGAGCACGTGAGAGTGGCACGGCAGGATTGCTGCCGCCGCCAAGATGCGAGGGTCAGGTGGGACGCAGGTGGTGCTGGCGAGGCTGTGGCGGGGCAAGGCATGGTTCCATGGCTCAGGAGGGGGAGAGTCAGGCCAAGGGCAAGTGAGCTAGGCAGAGGAGTTGGGCGCAGTGTTGTGGGGTATGGTGGGGTGTGGTGGGGTGTGGTGTGGTGTGGTGCAGGGCCCAAAATATCAGGGTAAAACGCCCTGATTACCCTGGGGGCCGGCCGCTTTTTCAGGATTACCCTGCCAAAATCAGGATTGCACGATAGTTACCCTTCTGCAAAAAGAGCATGTTTTTTTTTTACACTGATTGGATTTACGGTTAGCCTGACGGTGTCAGGGTAGGGTGTAGACTACCCTGATACCGAAACTTCTTCACCGCGGATCAGGCCATATTCCGCGTGGTGACGAACTGTACCACACTCACACAAACAGACATTTCCAAAAAGCCCTGACAGCAAATTCGCCCTGGCACGGTAGTTTCGTGCTGTCAGAGCACAGCAAATTCGCTCAATAACAGTTTTGCGCTGTCAGAGAGCAGAAAATTTGCCCAATCACAGCGGAATTACCCTGACACAAGAGCAGATTCGCCCTTACACGAGATTCGCCCTGTCAGACCCTGTTGTGAGTGCTACTTTATTATGTTAGTATAGAAAACTTAGCTCACAAAATAATAGCCGAAACAGGCTTAGCCTAAAGCTACCCTGCTCAAATCAGGCTATAGGTTGATTTACCCTGCTGCAAACAGGGTACGAAAAAAATTACCCTAGGGGTCGGGCTAAGGAGGGGCTGGAACCCTGATTTGTAAGGGTAGGCCTAAACCAATTTTGGGCCCTGGTGCAGAACGACCGGTGGGAGGTGGACAGGGAAGGGTGTGTGCTGGGATAAGGGACCCTACAGTGCTAACTTGGAGGCTTGGTTCCAGGGCCCTATATATCTGCCTTTTTACGCTGATTCAGCGTTAGATCAGACTTTTTTATTTAACACTATCAGCCAATCGGCTGCAGTTCCAACCAATCGGGGCTGTGCAGCAGGCAGCGTTGGCAAGATTCCTTGCCAATGCATAGCTAGCAGCGCGCTGCTCCTCGCAGGACACCACAACCATCCACCCCACTCCACCGTCCCTACATCCACGACCAGGTGACGTGCATACAGGGACCACCAGGGAGATGAGAGGTCCTAATACGAGGACCTCTTCGCTTCCTCATCGCCACTGTTCTGGCCAGTCCCTCAGTGGCCTGCCTCTCTCGCTTCAGTTCAATGCCCTCGCCTGAAACTACTACTGCCTGAACTCTTGTTTCAGGCTCCTTCTCATGTCCTCGCAAAATCACCGCTCGGCAGACTTAATGGCAGCCATTGACTCTCCCGCTGAAGGGCCCGACGACGATGAGGATGACGACGATCGTCGACGACGACGAGGATCGTCGCCATGTACACAACATGATGATAGGCCTAGATTTTCTTAGATCGGCCTTAGAGAAGCCTCGTGCACCGCCAGCCCCACCGTCGCAACCCAGCTCGAGTCACGCTCCGGATTCCACGCACTCAGAACCTTTGCCCGAGGCCACCACTGAACCAGTGACAGATGCGCCACCGACAGTGGTCCATCATGCGTCCGTCGAAACACCATCCCGTCCCGCGCCACCAACGAATTTGCGATACCGCCACTCTACCAGTGCGTGGGCAACTCCACCTCCTCCCTCGACTGTTCAAGCTCCATCGAGCGACGAATCTCCCATGCAGGACAGCTCCAAGCCCACTCCCGAGAAGTTTGAGTTGAAGTGGTGTACCAGATTACCGGTACACTTGGCTGATTCTAACTAAAACTTCTTCTGGTGCAACTGCTTTTGCTTGGAGTTTGCTGGATTGACAGGCAGATGTGGACAGCGTGGAGAACGCGCTACCGACGTGCAGACGCAAGCCTTCAAGAAACATGTGTCAGAATCACTATGCAGGAATGATAAGAACAGAAGAGAGGGTTTCCACTAGCAGGCAGGTGGGATACATATAGGAACCCTTGAAGGGTTGTACTCTCTGTTGAGTACCCCACTACAGCGTACACAACAAATAACAGTATGACACACCCCCATAGGCAAAGTGGGGTATAGCCAACAGAACAAGCAGTCACAGAATCAGTTCATAGGCAAAGACTGATGGCAGAAGCAGAGGGCAAGTGAGGAGGAGGAGGAAACTGGAGAGGAGACGAGGTGGGCGGCCGCTGAAGCTGCTGGCACTGGTCGCAAACGGCGTAACTGTGGCTCTGCTCGCCGGCAAGAGCAACTGACCCTCTGGGGACCGGAGCAACGGGTAACCGGAGTAACTGGCTCGCTCGCCGGCAAGAGCAACTGACCCACGGGCCTCTGATGCAACGGTCTCATGGGCGACTAGAGCTGCGGACTTCACGACGGCTACCTCCGTTCAACCTCTCCCCATTGCCCCAAACCCCCTTGTCACATCCCCCTCTGCATCCCTAGCACCACTCCCTCAACTCCCACACCACCCCCCCCCTCAGCGGCAGCTGCAGCAGTGGGAGAGAAAGAAGGAGGAGGAGCAGCCGACCACTCACACCCGCCACCCCCATACCCTCCCCCCCAGGGCTGCACGCGCAGCAGGGAGATGAAGGAGAAGCAGGGGGGGCGGGGGAGCGGGGTAGGAGCTGCCCCGCGACTGCAGGGGCAGGCGCGCGGGCTGTAGAGGTGGCGCACGGGCTGCAGGGGCAGCGCACAGGCTGCAGGGGCAGTTCGCGGGCTGCAGGGGCAGCTCGCTGGCTGAAAACCGCCGCCCTCCCCGAGGCGCGCGGGTCCCACAGGGGCGGCACGCGGGTCCATGGGGGCGACGCGCGGGTCCACGGGGGCGCGGGGGCGACGCGCGGGTCCCACGGGGCGGCGAGACGGGTGCACAGGGGCGGCGCACGGGTCCACGGGGGCGACGCGCGGGTCCACGGGGGCGACGCGACGGGTGCACGGGGCCGGCGCGCGGGTCCACGGGAGCGGCGCGCGGGTCCCACGGGGACGGCGCGCTGAGCAGAAAACCGCCGCGCGCCCCGGGGCGCGCGGGGGGCAGAAAACCGCCGCGCACCACGGGGCGCGCGACGGGCTGAAAAATGTCGTGCGCCCGGGGCGCGCGACCAACAGAATAGCAGCGGAAGCAGTAGGGTGGGCCCATCCACAGGATCGACCAAGGAGGGTCGACCTGCTCTAATCGCATGTCAGAATCACTGTGCAGGAAAGATAAGAACAGAAGAGAGGGTTTGCACTAGCAGGCAGGTGGGATACATATAGGAACCCTAAAAGGGTTGTACTCTTTGTTGAGTACCCCACTACAGCCTACACAACAAAAAAACAGTTTGACAATATGAAGGGACAGTGAAGTACCAGTCAGCTTTGCAAAGGCAGGAGGACGTGTTGCAGAAAGTGGCAGGACCACAGTGCATCAATCTACACCCGAAAGCGCAAATGTGAGGATCGAGGATCGAGCTCAAAAAAGGAGATTGAATTGATTGATTCACCTGGGTACAATGCGAGGCTATATATAGTCTTGTCACAAGGCAGGCAACCCAGGTGTTACGCGGATGTTCAGAGGGTCGCGAAGCATCCCGAACAGAACTCTCCCGAACTCGGTAGAAAGCAATTCGGTAGGAACCGGAAGGCTTGAGTTTGGTACACGTAACCTGGTTCGGTGCTACTATAATAAGATATAGGAATGCACCTAACCTAGGTAATCAAGTTTAAACATGCATGATAAATAAAACCTAAGCTAGAATAGCATAATAAAGGCAAGGCAAGCTAGCCACGCAATCATAAGCCGTCGTACTCTCACACGCCCCCCCCTCAAAGCTGGGTGGCGTGAGAAACACCCTGCTTGACAAGATAATCCTTGAGAGCACGACGTGCATTGCCCATACCAGCTTCTGCAACCCAACTGTCCTCCGAGGGTTCATATCCCTTCTAACATATTAGGAACTTGAGGGTCTTGCCGCTGCGGCACCGATGAGTGAGAACGCATTCCACCTCGTACTCTGGTTCATCCTGTACGAGAACAAGTGGTGGTGGCGGTAGCTGCTGTCCCTAGAACTGTTGGTTGGGGTCCTTGTAGGGATTCAGTAGCTAAAGCTTCCACATAGTAGGTAATGTGAGAAACTAAGAGCGAACGAGAATGATGGACTAGGAGGAGAATGAGAGTACAAGTATGTCAAACCTAGAGTTGTGTACCCCCTAGAAGCTAACCCACAATAGCCTACACAAATATAACACATACAATGTTTGACACACCCCCATAGGCTAAGTGGGAGAGAACAAGGGGTCACAGGACCAGTTCACATGCAGTTTGATAATATAACAAGAGGTACAGTGATCACAACCTAGCAAGTGTAAGCATGCAGGTATATATAGAGAGATCACAGTACAAGCAGAGTCAAGAAGTGAGCAGGTGAGGGAGAGTAGGCACAAGGCCTAGCACAGTACAGAAACGCTGATGGTCACAAGGCTGAAGCGCCTTGGTGAACACATCAGCAGTGTTGGCCCGAGTGGCCACGTACGAGAGACGAAGCTGACCCCTCTGCTGCAGCTCTCGCGCTAGGAAGTAGCGCAGAGCGATATGCTTCGTTCTGTGCTCCAGTCTGTGCTCCTCATACAAGGCAATGGCTGCCTTGTTGTCGACGTATAGCACTGGAGGAGAAAGAGGCCGCTCTCCGAGGTCGGTCAGCAGGTAGGTGAGCCAGCGTAGCTCCTGGGCCGCCATG